CCCGCATAATAATAATTCGTGCTAATACAAATCCCCATCCATGAAGTCAGCGCAGGCGTGAAAACCGAGAGCGGCGGGGCGCCGGCGAAGCTGGACGTGCATGGTGGGGTGTCTTGTCTCTGTTATTCCCGCACTTTCCCCCTCTTCTTCGCCGTCAGCATCGGGTTCTGGATTCCGTTTTATGCCACATCTTCTACTCCATCTGGTCTGCCCTGTCCCGCAGAGGCGAAGACGCGCGCTCAAGAGCCCGGCCCCGTGCTCATGCTTTCGCTAACGGCGAGCCAACGGGCGCTTGGGTTGATACTGGGCCCGGCGTGCATTTCTTGATGTCTGGCACACAGCGCGGATGGCGCGCGCTTCATGCGTGCGATCGCCATTCCACGACGAGCGCTTCGATCCGTAAAGCGCTCATGTGGACTGCAAAGGGCTACTTCCCCTCCACGCGCTTCATTTTTTTCGCCGCTCAAACAGGGGGACAGCCTGCCGTTCATGTCCCTGGCGGCATATACTTACCATCGAATATATGGTTTTACCCCGTATGCATGATTTTCGTTCTGCGGCTTGGACCTTCCATGCGCCGCGGCGCGAGACAGCCGCCAATACAGCTTTTCGCTTGTTCCGCATAATTATGAACAGAGCTGTGAAAAAGGATGCCACAGCTCTGGTGTGGGAGTTCATCACGCTACAGACTTATTCATCTAGGTGCTGTATGGGCGCCTTTTGAAGCGCCTCATCTGTAAGCGCCTTTGTGCTTCTCCTCCATTGCACCGCAACTATCTCACTGGTGCCATCTCAGGGTTAATGCACACGAAATTTGACGTTTCATTCCAAATCGTTCAGGGTCATAGAGCTCGTATAGACTGCTGTACGTCTCGAGAGAACGACAACCTGGGATTTGTGAGTGGAATTATTTATGTGACTCTGCTCCAAATGTAAGACCTAATCACATCGATTAGCGGTAGTACGGTCCGGTGGTGATTCGCAGATGCTGTTGCACTGCCTCGTGAGGAAGAGTCCACCATACATCTTGTCCTTTTCCTCCCTCGCGCTGCGACAATGCCCTTCGAACTCACTGAGGTCATCTCAGGAGGAAATTTCAACAATGTAGCCGGCAATATGACTCAAGTTCACAACTGGCATGCCAGCGATCTCTCGGCCCAAGGACAGGGAGAGAAGGACGAGAGTTCGACAGCGCTACTGCGCACGCACGGTACGTTACGGCGACCGTTCGGAAAGAACACCCGCTGAGGTCTCCGGTCTCTGTGTTCCCAGAGCCAATTGTGCAAGGCCGATCGATTGCGGGCGTGGGCAGGCAAAGAGTGCGACCTTCTATCCGGCATCCTTATCGTGGGTCCTTTCAATTCAAATCCGGAAAAGATTCACTGAATTAGGATGAGATTCGCATATAGACAGTGGGCACATATCCCGAAATATAGGCACAAACTCAAATCAGTGGATTGGACACGATGTTGGCCCACAGAGTGATCGTCATCCGCCGATTGAGCGCTTCGAGCCTTTAAACCACACTTACAACAGTGTTGGAGGGAATATGACACAGGTCACCGCGATCTCGTACGGAGAATCAGGTGTGTCGTCCGATTCCTTGTCCAAACCCTAGCATTGATCTGTTCATCTCAGGAATTGATCTTCTCCACCGAAATGTTATCACGGAGGCCTTGCATGACTCGGTGGAGCGATTTCCAGAGCCAGCATGCCACCCTGGGACGCGGACAGAGGTGCTCGAAGAGCTGCGCTCTTGGTCCACCGAGACAAACACTGAGAGCACGCTGCTCTGGATGCATGGATCAGCTGGGATGGGCAAGTCTGCTATCGCGCAGATGTTTGCTGGAGACTGCGAAAGCCATGGTCGACTGGGAGCGTCGTTCTTTTTCCGACGCAACCACCCACGGCGGGGAAAGTGGAATGGTTTGATCGCAACGATTGCGTATCAACTAGCGAATACACTACCCAGATTTCTCCTACCGCTTCAGCAGGCCGTGGAACGTGATAAACTGGTCATCGGGCGCTCCATGACTGTGCAATTTCAACGCCTTCTGCTGGAGCCTTTCACGCAAGTGACAAGTCTTCCATTTATGCCAGTGGTCATTATAGACGGACTCGATGAATGCGAGGACCACAAAACTCAGCAACAAATTCTTCGGCTGTTCATCGACGCGGTTCAAAATAGCCAGCTACCCATACACTTGTTGATCACCAGTCGGCCAGAGCCTCACCTTCGGGAAGCTCTGGAGACAGCGGAGACATTCGCCATATGTCACCAATTGGTTCTATCGGCAGACAATGCTGCATACGAGGACATTCGAACTTATTTTCGAGCCGAATTCTCTCGGATTCATTCGGCCTATGGGTCCAGGGGAATAGACCTCGGCACCCCATGGCCCTCGACAGAAGCCCTTGACCACTTGGTCGCCAAGTCCACCGGCATTTTTGTGTATGCAACCACAGTCACAGGTTTCATTAACGACGAATACAGTCATCCAGAAGATCGGCTAGCCTCTGTTTTGCGTCTCGACCCACACAGTACTACCACCCTTGACGATCTCTATACCGAGATCCTGTCGATCCTGTCGCCGGAGCCCCAAAACCTTCGTATTCTACACAGCATTTGCCGTCTCTACGTAGATCCGGAAGAAACCGATACAATTTTGAGACTGCGCCCAGGGACATGTCGTCTCATACTGCGAGGCCTCCATTCACTGCTCGTAGTCCCCCGGATCCGAACTTGGTATGGTTTCCGGGAGCATGTTAAGCTTCTGCATGCATCATTCGCTGATTATCTCGCGGATCCACATCGATCTGGCTCTTGGTGCTTCTCCATACCTTGGCTACACTTCGACTGTCTTGAGTCCGTTATTCGGCTGCTCTTTTCACCACCTCTGACATTCTCCGCACGGGTGTTCCATAGGTAACATACCTTTCCACCACAATTCCCAAATTCACACACACTACTTTGCAGCGCAATGGTGGCAAACTTGTCGAAGTTTTTGAGTTGTACTCCGTCCATGGCCCTTGTCTGTCTCATGCGCAGTCTACACTTTCAAGACTCTATCTTTCTCAATGAAGACACCGCCCAATGGCCTCAGGTGCTTCTCGATTGATTGCCATTCATCAGTCGTTTTCTGATACCTGACGTAGGACCAGTCCCAATGGCCCCCTGATTTGGTTCAACTCTGGGAAGATAACGGATTTATTTGTGCCCTCACCTCCCATCTGGAGTTGAGTGGCCCTGGAACCTCCCCAACATACGAGTACGATTCAATTTATGCAAATATCCTTTCAAAACACGCCGCTCTTCTCTTCGTCCTGAAGGCTATATTGATAGGATATAAAGACGTTACGATGATCCTGTGTCTTGACTTGACATGGAGTATCTTTAAACCGCTTCTCGTGCTTAGCACCCTCATAGATCTACCATTCCCTCATGGTGACTCGCCGCTGGACTTCCTAGTGGATCCACGTAGGTCCGGGATCCTGTATTCCAGCGAAGAAGAAATAGCCGAAGAAGTGATGCTTTTTTGGATACAGCAGGTCAAAGGGATGATTATGAGAAGTGACATCTACCACTATATGCCATTATCGTGCGTGGTGCCTTATGTGACGTTTTCTGCATTAATAATGTATTCCAGGCTCATTGATAAATGCCAACCCAATCAAAAAATACTGGGAGAGCTCCAAAATTTGAATCTCTCTCATCTTTGCACATTAATGCGCGAAGATCGCGATGCCCACCAGGAAGCCCACACACTGAGCATATTGAGACTGAGAGTCTTTCAGGATGTCCTGGATTGGCTTTGGGTGCGGTACACGATGGAACCCGTGACGAATCGTATTGATTGACACCCGCAGAAATTCCCCGACCCTCCACTTGCAATAATCGCGTTCTGGGAGCGGCAGAGAGAGGATATACAACGATGTATAGATGAATCTGGTTTTTGATAGTGATGGGGATTGATGTGTCGACCTCAGTGGCCACCTGAACAGCAAATGCATTACTATTTAGTCACTTCTACATTTGATTCGATTCGGATTCACATTTTAGGTGAGTAATCCAATTTGACGGGGGTTCATAATTGCTCAAATAACAGTGACACTGTTAGAGCATGGGGCCAAAGATAAATTCGACGCGGTCTGGTGGTCCTCAAGGATAGCGACGCTCTATGAAGACCTTCATGTATTACAAAGGCCGACGCGCCGTCGCTTCTCCCCGTCTCGGAATGCCCTGTTCCAAAGGGAAGATCTGCCCTCTGAAAGGAGTAAGCCGGTTTGCCTTGAGCCAAGCACAAGTTGATATCAAATTTATTCACTCGGAGCTCAAAAGTTATGCATTCTATCTGGGTCTGCGGCGATCATTTGAGGCCGGCAAATTTAAAGCTCGAATATCAACCCGATCCCAGGCATAGACGAAGATTGCTTCCTCCTTTTATTAACGTCCAGCTGCGGGCGGCGGGGGGGTCAACTGCCATCGGTTGCACTGCTGAGTTGAACATGTGCTTCAAGTTGATATTTTATTTCTTTTCTCTTCTTACAAGCTCAGTGGAAGCTTTACATTGTCTCCGGCAGTGCATGCTGTTTGACATGATCGTTCATTCAAGGCACGAATAAGTTAGTCTCATAGATAAACATTTTAATAATAGAACTCGTACCAGGTCGAGGGGACGTTTGTTACGAATAAGAGGAATAAAATGCTCGGATGCATTGGAACGGTTCACGTTGCAAGGACACCAAAGCAGCCAACCTTGGAGATACAGTAGAATCCGCCCTCACAACTTTGTAAAGTAGGAGAATGCTCTACCGGATGAGCTTGAGCATCTCCAGTTGAGCATCTTCGGTTATAGGGAGCCATTCATTTCCTGAGGCTGGAACAACAGAACTTTGAGAAGGGGGTTTAGCCTGAGACGGTCCGCAGGCAGCTGGCAGCTGGCAGCAACGAAACGGTGCAGACGCAGAAACTAGGCGCAAGGAGAGAAGATGGGGACCAGGCTGCTGTAGCTCAAATGGGAGAGCTTCCTCTCCTTATTCATCATGGAGGAGGAGTCTGAGGATGATGTGGGTTCGATTCCTGCCAGCAGCATAGTTTCATTTTATTTCTTTCTCCTTGATATTTTTGACTTCTCTCTTCAGCGTACAGCCATTCCGAACACCTGTCTCCAAATCCACACAAAAACGAACTACCACCAATTCAGTATCCTCGCGATCGGCCCGCCGCGCACATGCAATGTGTCGAATTGACGTAAGGGACATCAAAGTCGCTTCTCCTTTGCGTGCTTTTGCTTTTGTCACCCACCTCGACCGAGACCAAACATCAAGACGACGAGTATGGAGTACAACGTCGCCGCCAGCGTTGACGGTAGAGGCGGTTGAGGCAGAGGTAGCTGGAGGAAAGGGAGAACAGGCAGCGAGTAGTACACGGCAGCGGTAATCGCGACGCCAGCTCGTCGTCAGCCTCACCTGCACCCTCAATCGTATCACCGCCTCCCTCGTCTGTCCCAACGCCCTCGCCCGCCTTCTCTCCGCCTCCTCCCTCCCCCTCCGCTTCCCTCCTCGACCTTGGCGTGTGCGCGTTTCTCCGACCTCGAGGCCGCGTCGGGATGCGGCGATGCTGTTAGCGAGGACGCCGGGGAGAACGCACCACGGAAGGGCCAAAGCAAACGATGATTATTGCACTTGATTTCAAAAATTCTCGATGGCGCGTCTTGATTTTTTCATGAGCCGTTTTCTGCTTCTCGTGCTCTGTGGCGGCCTTGTCCTTATAGATTTTTGAAATAAACTAGTATGTTTTTTTCACTGGGGACCGCGTTTTCTATGCCCAATGCTGGTAGTTTCGCTGGTGCCTCTATGATCACTTGAAGTAGTGTCCGATGCGGGACGGCGCCAGAGCGGCGCGCCATTCTGTTTTCCGCATCCCCATCTTTATCCTCGTGGTGCAGGACCCCGATGCCTCTCGCTCTGGTCCTCTCCCTTCGATGCGTCCCGTGTCGGTCATCCCCGACGTGTCTACATCTCTCTCTACGTATATTATGCTGCTCGTGCAGGGAGCCTACTTCACCGCTTCAATTTTTCTTCTTCTCTTCATACGAACATTACCATTTCAAATGTCTTCGCCGCCTTCGACACCTCAATGACGCGAAAATCGTCGGCCGGAGTCGTGGATGATGTGCGGGCGTTGTCCAATGGGGCTGCCACGCGCCGTTCTTTAACTCTTCACACCGCATTGGGATTCACACAACAGCAGCACACCCTGCGGGCCTGCGCTCGTGCGCCTCCTCGGCTTCAGGCACGACCGCACGCTCGCGGTGCGTTCTTCTTTTTTATTTTTTTAAAAACAGGTCTTGCTGTCTTTCTCTTATGTCGGGTTTAATTTTGGGATGTGAGCGCATCGGGCAATTCGTTGCGTTTGGCTATGCTGTGCCATAAAATGGTGGTTGTGGTCTATCTCCTTTCCGGATGCGCACCCCTTGTGGGTAGTGGCGTCGGACTATTCATTCTCGCCCCGCCTCGTGATATGGTGGTAGTGTCGGTGTTTGGACTTGGACGCGGGTCTGCCTACGGACGGGTCTGGTTTCAGGATGGAGAGTTCCTTTGCGTTTCGATGTCGGACAGAGATGCCGGCCCATCGTTGTCGCCTTCTCGGATGCGCGTACGGTTCGTTACCCCGAGTGCAGGGTGTGCCTCATCGTGGTCTTGGTGTTCAGCATCATCTTCGGTTTGTTTTGTTTTGTTTTCGACATTCTTCCACTCCATCTTGTCTGCCTTTTTCCACTCACACTTTCGCGCTCGCTTCCTGTTGCAGGCGTTTATCCCTTTCCCTCCCATTTCGTTGCAGTTACAGTTCTATTTAATGCAAATGGTATGCTGATGCACTTCTAGTTCGACTGTGTGTCTGGCGCACAATGTGGACGACGCGCGCTCCATGCGCGCGATCGCTCGACGCTATGTCAGCGTATCTATTTTTGCGGCGAACGTGCAGGGGCTACTTCCCGTGCCCATCCATGAGCTTGGCTGCGCGTTACGCGTTATTCTCGTTCCGACAGGTGTTCTCTTCTGAACTAGTTTGACACTATTGGCAGTACAGCTTTTACTTGTTCCGTATAATTGTAGATTCAGATAGAATGAACAAGGATGCTACAGCTCTGTTTTGGCAATTCATTGCGCTACATCCCAGGTGCCGTATGGGCGCCGCGGCTTCGAGCGCACCAATCCTTTCTCATGGACACCACCGCATTCGGAAGTGCCTTTTTCATTCTCCTCCATCGCCCCGCCACGATGTTACTGGTGTCATCCCAGGGTTGCGCCCACTGCCAGACGCATGGGATGGTACCATTGTGATTTTGAAGTTGTTATCTGTGCCTTTCTGTCCACTTACCTCTTGACATGTCATACAATGTCCTTTCTAAATTCTCACAACGCTCATCCACTCAGAAATTGACGCGGTGTCAATGGCACCGGTCCGAATCCACTCTCTTCGTGTTAGCCATAATTTTGGTAATGTGCGACTATTTTGTTTTCATAAATTATGGCGGCGATCTCACTTCAGCGGTACTCCCGACGCGACTGCATCATCACTTGGTGGAGCACTTCGGAGCAAGTCCACCATGGCATTCCTTTGTCGGCCAGTCTTTCTAGAACTGAAACATGGGAATACTTCGAAAGGTTCTCGCATAAGTATGGTGTTATAATTCCGTATCACATCCTTGTGCATTAAATCTGGTTCCAGAGTCAATTGTGGGGCGGGTCTCACCGATTCACAGGAAACGATTTCATTTCTCCTGAGCCTGCGTCTCTTGATCTATTCATTTGAAACGACTTCTCATCGACGGCAAGCATCACGCATGCCAGTCTGCCTCGGAGATGTATCTCGGCGTCAGCCCCGGCCCCTAACACTACGCGCTTTGAGCGGCCACTGCGCCTGGTATGTGTCGTCTTCGCCCGCGACAAACGCCAGGTGCGACGCGTCGCGCAAGCTGTACGATGCGTTCGGGAGCGCATTCGAGTTTCTCCATCTTCCGAGTAGAGCACTCTTCCTCGTCGCCCCGTCGTCCACCCGTCTTTGCCCACTCTCCCTGCTGCAAGCTCACGTCGAATACGGAAGGCCTCGAATCCTCAAGACGTCCATCCGAAGAACAGTGAATGTGGTCATCAACGCGATAACCGAACCGTGCGTGTGGTATAAGAAATTATCCACCTGTACGCATCCCTTCTATTCGTTGTACCAAACCTCTCACTCTAGTTCCCGGCTTTCCCGCTGTGTGCCCGAGTCACTTCCCTTCTCTCAACCTATGAGAAGTGAGTGCAACTCTAACACGCATACATCATACTAATTTCGACTCTTTTCTAACAGTACCTTCTTGGGAAGTGCGAGAAGTGAGTGTCTTTCAATGTGCATATATCTCGAGGATCGCTGATGCAGTTTACACCCCAGGGCCTTATTGACTTGACGACTTGATGATCTTTGGGTACGTTTCCACAATCGTTTTCTTCTCGCTCCAGCTCATTCTTACCAAATTCTACAGCTGGTCCAGATGCATACACAGTTTCAACTCGCCTTTCAGTGAGCACTCCTTACTCATTCTAGTCAATTTCACTTTCTCGTTCATTATTTGTATGCTTAATTTATTTCCCCCAGGTTTCCCTTGCGACGCTGCTGCTCGAGGTAAGCAATCTAGTTATAGTTCGCAGGTTCAAGGACCGACTTCATGAATTTTTCTGCAGGCGAGGCGACGTGTTATATTTCTTCCAGGTGAGCACTTTTCCCCTCCATTATTCACGATACTTATACTGTTTCTTCTAGTTTATACTTCGAGATTTTGTGCCTAACTTACAGGCGATGGGATACTTCTTTCTGGTAAGCCCTTTCTTTCGTTTATTATTCCTGAAACCATAATGTGATCATATCTGCCGCTATAAAATCGATCAAATAATTGTAAATCTGCTGTGATAATTACATTATGTTCATCATACTCACACGATTGAGCATGAGAATGCATACATTCACTGGTGTTGTAGAAAACTCCTACTCAAACGGGCGCTATACTCTTGTGACAAGGATACCAGTAGATTCCATCAGTCTGCTATCTCCATTGCCTCGGAAATAGGGTGTCCATTTCAGTTTAAATAACTGAAAACCAGGTCCATTAACCACCTATGGGGATACCAGGTTCGGGGTTTCATTTAGGATGATGTAGGTCCGATCAATTCCCCGTGGCGCTTGATTATGATCCAAAGCTTATGGAATTCCTTCTGTAGGAATTATAAGCCCCGCACCCGCAGTGGCCACACCAACGGCAATGCGATATGTGTCCATCGTGTTGCATTCATTTCCCATATTACACTGGTGCCCTACTTGATGCAGTGAGTAGTGTGCCCAGTCTGGTTAGTGTGCCCAGTCTGGTTTAATTTGTTCCTGTCCAGATATAGAGTTGTGTATTTGGAGCCGGTGGGCATAGCATATCTACTAAATTACGACAAGGATAACTGCCAATGAAAGCCGGAACTCCGATGGATAAAATAGGAGCATCTAATCGATCAATGGTCCCCAATGAAGATGCCCCTCAAACAGACTGCTGCTGATATTCGAGTCCTGGACATTGCGACTTGCATGACTGTGACCGTGAATACAGTCGAAGCCCTTGCTATTGCGCTCAGAGCCCCCTTCCTGGAGGCTATTGCCAACACAACTCGGTCTCTCCTGAAAAATATCCAAGTGAGTTTGTCCCCTCAATTCAACTTCACAATCAGTCTCAGGGGGGCATTTTAGATTACAAAACGAAACAAGGACACCTGTGTCCAGCTGACGGAGCAAATACATGGCTTGCTGAACGCAATTATTGCTGTCCACATTGAGTCAGACATAGGGGGAGAGCTACCCCCAGATGTGTTGAATCATATTGGGAGATTTACACTGTATGCAACTTGTTGTAAATTCCTCTGGTCACTGACCACAAGTATTCAGGACTCTTCACAAAATCCATACATTTGTTGAAGCCCAACAAAATGGAAGCAAAGTCAAGATGTTTTTCCGTCAGAGTGAAATGAGCACTCTGCTCAAGGACTGTAAAACTGGATTGCAACAAG